AGGTGTTGAACCCATAAAAAAACTAAAACAAATAAAACATCCATCCATCCATCCATTTTCTTCCCCTCAATCCATTTCTGGGTCAGGGGGGTGGCAGTCAGACCTGCATCCAATTCACATATCACCATCCCCTCACTGGTCCTCCTGCAGGTGGTGAGTGCACACGAGCCTTTATCTTTCAGCGGGGGCTTCAGGCAAAGTGGGGTTAAGTGTCTGGCCCAAGGACACAACGACAGCAGTCATCAGTGGGAGTCGTGAAGTAGGTTTTTGTGTTACTAATTGTGTTCTTGGGGGTATTTTTAGAATACATTTACAGATGAGTTATTATTTTTGTGTAAAAATTAGCAAACACATTGAGAGCATGCCATGAGAGCATAATACCGTCTTACCATCAATGCTTACTAGTTAATAATAATTTTGACATTACTATGGAGGCCATTAAAATTATCATGGGTAAGAATATGCAAACCCCTAATTTAGAGTCGTTCATATTATGTTTAGTGCCCATTTTTTTCTGCTCTACATTAATCTTATTCTTATTTATTATTCTTATTATTCATTCTGATAATATTTTTTACACAGAAATGGCTTACATTTCCCTGGTCCAAACAAAATCCAGACAAACCTGGTGCTGTCTACTCCATCCACTTTACATGATTAACAGTCTAGCAAGCAGTTGAAACTGCAATTAAAGGTGTCTTCCATCAATGGAAGAAGACCCTTTCTAGTAGTCAGCTAAAGCGAGGCCAAGGGGAGCTGTGCCCCACCAGAAGTCATTATTTCTTTGCAGCTCCATGGAATATATTAACTTCAGTGCTACTGTCTTAGCTAGAGCCTCTTCTTTCCTCTATTCACAGCAAGTTAAAACAATATTTTGGCTTCTTGCAATTAAGCAGAAGCATAAGAAAGTGTGGAAGACTTCCTATAACGCAAACTTGCGCAGATTGAGCCAAGGTCAGAAGCTGCAGAGACCCCAAGTTCAGTAGAAGAAAGAGGCTGAGAGAGAGAACCTTGATCATTTATCAGAGTGAATTAGGAGTGTGACGATATATTGATATGGTGATGTATCATACTTTCTCACGCAATCGAATATCGATATGCTTTTGCCAAGTCCATCCATTTTCTTCCCCTTAATCCATTTCTGGGTCGCGGGAAGGGGTGGCAGTCAGAGCTGCACCCAGTACACAGAGCACCAGCCCCTCACTGATCCTCCTGCAGGTGGTGAGCCCACAGGAGCTGAGATCTTCAAACAGGGGCTTCAGGCAAAGTGGGGTTAAGTGTCTTGCCCAAGGACACAACGACACCAGTCATCGTGAAGTAGGTCTTATAGTGGGCTCGAACCCACGACCTTCAGGCTCAAAGGCCAATGCTCTACCAACTGAGCCACTGTTGCCCCGCTTTTGCCAAGTATCAATTTAAAAAAAAATATAATAACATTTTTTTTATCAATACTGAATTTATGGCTACATTACGCATCTCGTAATAATCTGCTTTGACCTGAACATATTGTTCTATGACCCAGATATGGCCAAAGAAACACATCTCCATCTATCAGCTGACCTTGCTGCCAACAGACCATATGTGCTGTATTTGAATCCAGAGTTGAGAATTAGTTAATAACTTACACTTATAACTATTTCGTGTTCATTCAGATTGCTTTACTATAATTGTTATTGTGAGCTTTGTATCGCGTATCGTATCGTGAGGTACCCTGAGGTTCACACCCCTAGAGTAAATGATAACAAACAAAATAATCCTTTTTTGCAAGATTGATAGTTATCTGCAGATGGGATAGAAATAAAAGATCACACCAGTTCGGTTCTGTTGTTGGACGAAATACAATATTATGCCAAACTATATGTTGATGTGGTTTCATTCAGGGGTGTCTAAACGTTTTAGCAAGTGGGCCACTTTAGTTCATCAGACTTTACCAGGGGCCCAAAACCTGGATTAAAAAATAAACTGGATTTGAGCTGGATTGACTGGCTTCTGGAATTCAAAATGGGTTATAATACGTCTGTATTGATTCACACCAAAGGCGCATTTCATTTGGAATGTTGTGACAATAAAGTCAACCACTGGATTCCAGAGGGTCTGAAGTTTACAACAAGGTATAGCATGACTGTATCGGTGGAGCTGAAGTTGGTTGGATGACACTGCCAAAGTGCCTCAATGGCGATTTTGTGTTATCAGCAAAAGGGCCACATAAAATTGCACAGAGGGCCGAAATTGGCCCGTGGGCCTTAGTTTGGACATACCGGTCTTAAATGAAACTTATCTTTAACAACGATGGTCTCTAAATCACTTGAAAACAAAAGAACCATCTTTACGCCAGTATGATTTTCCAAATTGTACCTTTTTTTCTTCTTCTTACAGGTTGAAATGTAACCAAACAACCTTTAATAATGTGCACTTGATTGGGAATGAGCCACATTCAGATTTTGGGTGCACTGAGTGAGTTTTTGTATTTGTTGTAGATAAAGTAATACCTACCTTATCCTTATCCCCGAGTTATTCACTAAAACTGAAATACGTGTATCTTACAAACTCTGACTATGGATTATCCTGCTGCTGAGAAAGGATCATTACATCCATAATTCCCTGTTTTACATAATTTCTTCTCAGGATCGTGAGAGCTACTCTGTAATTAATTATATGTACAGTACACCTGCTACTTTTCATGCATATTGTTCAAAAGTACCTTCAGTTATATGTTTTGACAATGGTCTAGAATGATTGTAATTGAGAGAAACAGTTGCAGAAACACTATTATGAACCCAGTCAGTGCTGCAACTACAGTAATGAGCCAAAAGAAAGGGATTGTCGTACATTTGATGGTTCACCAAGTCCCAGTCATTGTCTTTATCTGCAGTAGAAAGAAGTGGAGAGGCGGGAATAGGGATCACAATTCCTTTGAGGTGCATTTAAATCATGGCCTCCACATATTACTGAGAAAATTCTCTCTCTCTCTCTCGAGAGAGAGAGAGCACCAGGCGAGATGGCGTCCTTCAAGCCCCGCTGGGTTTCCTGTCATCATGAAATGGGAGCAGCAGATTAGTCGGGTGAAGGGCTGTGGATGGGGGGAGGGGGCTTAAAATCGGGTTTAATCCCATCTCATATAGAGCTCAGCCCACTCCTGTGAAGATACCCCTGCGTACGAGTATGCCGCACAAACAGAGGTAAAGCCACTGGGGCCTTGTTTTATTATCAATTGCATTGTTTATCTAAGTACACATCAAATGGGCTATTAAAATCCACACCTGCAAAATCCAATTCAAACAAAGATATCAGACACTAAGATAGGATTTGAATATTAAAACCATGCTTCACAACCCTTGAGAGTGTCTTATTGTGACCTCAACACAAGGCAGCAAAGGGTTCTTCCACTACAGCGCTATTCAGTTTTTGGAAAACTAGTATTGAGCCACATGTAAAATATTGAAAATGACTTTAAAATAAAACATATAATCTAATAAAGTTATAATGGTTTGTATTTGTGTTTTAATGAACCTATGTACATTGATATCCATGTGAGAAATGGCAACATCCTTAACAACCATTTGAGATTTGAGTCAGGATATCCTTTTAGATCCATTCCACGAACTTCAAACGGAGAATTATCACCAGCAAAATACCCTTTACACAAAACACAAGGAGGCCAACCCAAAAAAGTTTTTTATGGCAATATATTTAGCAACAGATCACTAATGAATTGTATTGCATGACTATTTTCACTTGATGTGACTCACCAAGCGTACATTTGAGATACATAAGGTCTTTTGATGATCTCTCGCCAATGGCTTCTGCATAAAGATCTCATCAAAGTGACAATTTAGCACAGCTCATTGTGTTTAATGGAGTGCTGTAAAACACATCCTTTCCGGTGTAATTAATGACAACTGAGGACATAATTTGAATGTGGATTGTACATTCACTGTGTTTGTTGAGTAAGTCGTGACAGCATTAACAAACAGTAATGAAATTGTATCACACGGGTGTTTCTCCATCCATGCTGTTGCAATCAGCACTTATATCAATAGCAATCAAGGCCATTACTTAAAAGAACTCCATTTGATGAGTAGCTGCAAATTGTCACGAAAGAGATTTAGTCAAATATGTATTTGAAATTAAGACATCATTAAGTAGCGTAGTAGTTCAGAATAGTGTAGTATATTAGCTAAACAAGCTAAACATTTATGTTATTTCAAAACCCACAAATTGGTCACTTGCCTCACTTTTTAGTTTGAACAAGTTGCTAAAAAACTGTACTTCTAAAGAAGACATGGGAACACGAACAGTACTACACAGGTGGCGTCAAGTGTGTTCTAAAGGAGAGGATGTAAATGTCGTTATTGCATGTGCTACATTTGTATGTATGGTATTCACAAAAGCGGAGGAATGAGCTATACCTTGCAGAGTCGAGTTGCCATTTCATTTCAAAAGGGTCCTGCTATGCAAAAAATGCTTGACAGACATATTTTTCATCAAATGGTATGTGGATACTAGATGATTCCTTTTCCAAATGAAATAGGAGCAAGAAAAAAAAAACCTTAATCTGAGGAAAAAGTAACCAACACTACATTTAGTGTCAATATATATTGGTTTAAGGTGTTAAACTAGGACCAAAAGGGCCCAACAGGGGTGAATATACCCTCGGCACTGAGCGTCATATGTCAGGCCAAGCACTGTAACTGTGAGTGTGGGCAGCTGAAGCACAGCCTTCCACTCCAATCTCATGTTTGTGTTGTGCAAGCTCCCTAAGGGCTGTTTTTCTGAATGAGTCTGTCTCGGTACCTAGATGTATCACCAAACTGAGTAAATTTCTCTGACCAGTTCTAAAACGGAGAGGGGGGATATCCAATGAAATGCAATAATTGTGTTGTTGATTCTTGCACTTCCTATCTCATATCAAACTGGCGTAGAATGGACTGCAAGCTCTGTGTCTGTATGTGTGATCAATAAACCTATAGAGAGATAAGAAATACAGTGGCTTGACTTACAATGTGAAGTTTGAGGAAGTCTCCGAGCCCAGAGGAGCTGTCCACACGCACCAGGACAGCATCCTTGAGGTGAGTGCTGAAGCCGATGGCCAGCCGGTCGGCCCGAGTGCTGGGGCGGTCGTTCGGAGGCCAGGTGTAAGTGATGAGCCCTCCATCGCGTCCAAATATGTACGTGGTTCCCGCTGTGGCAACAAAAGAGAAAACGTTAATATCTATTATTTATTTTGGATTATATACCTCAACTAGTGGCTCAACATAAAATATATTTTCCTTTCCAAATATTTGGTTATGATTGAATGGTTGGTGGTGGTTCTGTCAGTCCACCTCAGGGCAGTTGTGGCTAGTAAGAGTTTACCACCACTGCAATGAATAAATAATGACAGCAGTTTAGTGCTTTGAGAGGCTTTGAATATCCGGAAAGCACATTGCATGTGAAAGAAATGATTATGAAATGTATATTGTATATTTCCTATGGACGAAGTACAGTTTTACAGTACAGGAGAAGATAATATTGTTCAAAAGTTGTGTAAATCAACTCCATACATTATTACACTATCATATATTAGTTATAAAAGTAAATGTATTTTTGGGAGACTTCCATTGAAGCCTTTGAGACAACACCCAAAACTATGTCTTCCATCTTCAAATCCCATGACATTTTAGGACGCCTAAATCTCATGACATCACAGTCGTTGCTTAGTTTTGAACAGCACAGACAGCGTTAGATCTTCTTAGCAGGACGCAGTGTATCCTTGCAGGTAAAATAAGGACTGTCAACATTATTAACATAACAAAGCCACATGGAAGCTCCTCTATTAAACTGGAGTGTGTTATAATGCTGAGTAATGACTTTGCACAGCACCGTGCCACATATCTCCCCTGTAGCACCCTCCCCTTCATTCACTGCTTTAAGTAGACTCGTGAGCCTATTCAGGAGTTGACGGAAAAACCCTTTGCAAATGAGAGAGGTAGGTTCTGTGTCATTTTACTCATAATATTAGGTAATTATTCTATTTTCTTCCTCCAAAAAGTAAGAAGTGTGTGCACGCCACATCCGGGGCACCAAGGTAACCTGGTGTGCCAAAACGAACCACCTCTGTCTTCCAAATCATTAGCAACCTCAAAGGCAGAGCGACCGCAAGCAGCATTAAAATTCACCGGCCCAATTATGGCGCCGCAGTGACCTCTAAACTGGCGATCTCCAGTCCATTAGCAAGTTGGCTTCACTAGCTCATGAAAGGTTTTAAACATGGCCTCACAGTGGGAGGAGCATCATGGCGCTAATCGAGAGGGGGGGAAGGTGCTGGTCAAATTGTGCGGAAAATGTCTGCCCTAATGAACGAAGTGAACCAATTAAAGTTATGCTTTTTGAAAAGTCGGCATTCTTTCCACAAATTTAACAACGCTACAAGTTAGTACAATTGTCCCATTTCAACAGACAATTTACCCATAACAAGCAATTATCTTCCAACTTTAGATTTTAGTGGTAGATTTCTACTTTCAAAAATATAGTTGCAAGAAAAAAATAATGATATACCTTAATTGTACGTTATCCATGAGTTACAAGTTGATTAGAATGAGTGACTATGTTTAAAACAAATTGAGAATATTATACCAAATTCTACAACCCAGATCAGCCCAAATCCAGTCAAAACCCCTGGACAGGATTGGTTAATAAAAGCTCTTACGTAAACATTTCTAGAGCTTCTGGTCTATTCTTCTCTGGGCCTGATGTTGTTTAGCCGAGTCCACAGTCCACAATAGTGTTTTCAGAAAAGGCACAACATTCATTATATGTGTTGTGTTTGTACAATACTTTATGATCCTTTGGGAAGGAAGTTAAACAAGTATTTGTGAAATCTTAGCTTTTTTCGAGTTTAATTACGTTTGGTGACTTGATTACAATGTTAACCGTCCAGAGGGGGCCATATAAAATCAAGATTTAACTTAAAGGGGACATATCATGAAAAATCCACTTTTTGTGCCTTAAATGCCTGATGTTGTGAAGTTGGAGCCTCTAGAAGTGCAAAAAAGTTGAAATCAGTCTCTTCATGGGTTGCAGAGAACACTTCATATTCTGTTTAGGTAAGATTTTTCAACCCGTTCTGATTTTGCCATTCTCTATTACGTGTTTAGAATTATTACGTCACAGTATTTGCAGCGAGACTGCTATATAAGGGCATGGGCGTCTAACAAAACACTTCGGCCCAGCCCTCCTCTTCTTCATTTGTAGTCCAAGCTCAAGGATGCCAGCGCACAGGGCTGGACTGGCCATCGGGCGTACCGGGCAATGCCCAAAGGGCAATGCCCATATTTGGGCCGGTCTGTCTGCCTCATACAAAACACATGTTTATGAGAAGTGTAAATCCGTTGAGAATTGTTCGAGCGGGGCGCGCGTATCCGCAGGGCACCTGCTGTATGTACTCAAACGGGATTCCGCCACCTCAGCGGCCGCAGTGTTCCGGGGCATCTGCGGCCGCTTTGTAATGAGCAGCTTCCGCGTCCAGCGGCTGCGAGAGGCTGTGAGCGTCCAGCGGCTGCGAGAGGCTGTGAGCGTCCAGCCGCTCGCAGCCGCTCCACCGTGTTGTGGAGCGGCTGGTACATGGCCTCATCGTGGCCATGTACCCAACCCCATAAACGCGCACAGGACCATGCGTGTCTTTGAGTAATCTGTGCACCCAATAAATACACTGCTGCAGGAAACAGTCCGCGTCTCCCCTCTCCTCTCGAAGTGCGATTAAACGCCCTAAATAAAGCTCTGATATCTACATTTTGCATTGCATTAAAAGTTCATGTTTGAGCCCAAAAGTAATATGTTGTGAACAAATTAAACAGATTTAGAGCCAGCAAATGGCTGACAATATGCATTTCAGTCTTATTTACCAATTCTCATCCCTGTAACAAACAATAGTGTTGTCTGTGTCCACCTCCCTCACTCTGAGACATGTTTATTACTCTCTTTAATGTAGACTATTGCATTTTATTTTATTGTTGAAACTGCACATATCCTGACCCTCTACAGTATTTGCTTCCACATACTGTATAAACTAGGAGTCGGCAACCTGCGGCTCTGGAGGCGCATGCGTCTCTTTCCTTCTGTAGAAGGAAAAACGTTCTTAACGTTTTAAATGCTGTAAAATTGTGCATAAGTAATATTCAATTTAAACATTTCTGTCAACGTGTCTGTCAAACCGGCGTGTGAGCATCATAGACTGTGCGCATGGATCCTAAAGCTAAAAAGAGAAGAGTCGATAATAAGACTGGACTAAGAATGAAAATTAACATTTGCTTTCAGTTAGGCCTGTCACGATAACAAATTTTGCTGGACGATTAATTGTCTCAGAAATTATTGCGATAAGCGATTATATTGTCGTTCTGAGATCATTTGCATCAATTACAATGATCATGCAGGTACACCTTTTCAAAGAGAAATAAACTTTTATTTTTAACGAATATTTAACGCTAGAACACAATAAATTTACAAACAACCAAAAACAATAAATAAAATAGACTCAGTCTCTTAACAAAAAATGACCAGGAATAAAACTGCCAGGACCTTTGTAAAGAAAATATGAAACAGATGCCTCAAATGTCAATAATTTCTCAGACTTTATGGCAGATTACGAGAAAGAAATACCAACATGTTGACTTTGTGTGGTTTAAGACAGGATCTCTCAGGAGTAGTCCCACCTCCCCACACACCAGGCGAATGACAAGTGACTAACATGTGGGTTCACCAATGGGGCGTACAGAAGTCCTGCTGCGGTAGCGCCCACCGGAAGTAGCGGGGCGGGCTTTGATGCTAACAGCTAAGCTAGCGGGTTTTTTGTTTAAAGTTCTACTCCAAGAATGCAAGTCTGCAGCATCTCTGTGTTCAGAGACCTTCTAGAGACTTTATATAACAGCAGTATGTGTTCACGGAGGTGCGCCATAAGTTTATTTTATTGGTATGGTACGGTACTTCTGCATCGGCGAACACGCTAACGCTAGCTGCGCTAGTATAGTCACTAATCAAGCCTGAATGAGAACTCAGCTGTCGGCATATGTTCACAACTACTGTGTCCCCCATTGTCAATCCTGGTTAAGTCCTGGTTTAGGTCCTGTTTTGGCTGTATTTTGTATTTTTGAGTAATTTCCGTCTGCTTGCTAGACCGCTAATGTTCCCGTGACCACTTTGCGGCTCTCTGACCCGAGAGAGAGGGGGGGAGAGAGACGGGGAAAACAAACAAGCATGCAAATGGATTTATCGCGGCCAGAAAAGTTATTGAGCAAATTTTATTTATCGTGCGATTAATTGATTTATTGACTATCGCGACAGGCCTACTTTCAGTCAATGAGGAAGGCCTGCTTCATGTTTGCGCTGTAATGAGAAGTTTCTATGAGATAATTGTATCTGTGCTTAGAAACTACAAAAATGGCCGCTCGGGGTGGAGTTGAACCTGTGTCACCTGGATGGGGGGGTGGTCAAAAGCGCCTCATTTGCATTTAAAGAGACAGCACCAAAACAGGTTGCTCTCAGACGCACCTCAGAACAGGTGTAGAAGAAAGGCCCGAGGAGCTACAAATAATGAGACTCAGACCCAGGCATTGCAGTTACGCTTTATATAGGCCACAAATTAATGATTTAGATGTAAAAATCAATTATTTGAAAACACGATATGTCCACTTTAATTCGATATTGCCCAGTCCAATTATCTTCAAAAGGCAGACGTACTCTTAAGGTATGGAAAAAAATAAAGTGAAAAAGAACCTGATCAATTTGTGTCAAGAATGCGTGTGAAAACTGACAGTTAAATTGGTCCAATTAAAAAAAGAAAACACCCATTGTTTGACACCTGCAAACCAGCAACTTCCCTCCCACCAAATTTTGAGACATGCCACTATCACCTCAATCAAACATGCTTCTATGTTTAGCTAAATGCAAAATGTTCATTAAGATAACAGTTGAGTTCATTGGGCAAGAGTACTTGGAAAGAAAAAAAAGACAGAAGGGGGGAAACAGAAAATTGCAAAGTAAATGCCTCAGAGAAAGCCAGGAAAATTAATGCAGCTGTCAGATTAGCATAAAAACAGCTATCTTCATGAAAAATTAGACAAGGAGGAAACCAGCGCAGGCATGTGTGTTTCTACGTTTATATGTGAGTGTGTGTGCTGCTGAGAGGGAGCAGAGCAATGTTAATAT